TTCTTTCTTTCTTTCTTTCTTTCTTTCTTTCTTTCTTTCTTTCTTTCCCATGAAATGTAGTCTTAAAAAATGACTCATTTAACTGAGATTCAAATTTAACTGGTGTTTTCTGTATTTGTTTACTAAATCTGTCAACTCACTGTATTGTTTGTTAAAACAAGAAATATTCAACATGAAATAAGGGAAATGGAGAATAACTTGTATTTCTAGGTATAAGGGGGAAAAAAAAGAGTCCTTCATCTCTACAGACTTCAAAGCTAAGAATTGAAAAGGTGACTTCACTGCAAGAACAATGCATTTGATCCCCACAAAGTCCTGCCAGAGACACAGGGAAGGTTATAGTTTAGTGTTTTTTATTCCATTCGCTTTGGGAGGATGCTCTTGTTTGAAGACCTTAGAGAATCATCCACCCTGTTCTTTAAGATGTGTTGGGATCCAGCAGCATCAGCATCACCAGGAGCTGGTTAGAAATGCAGAGTCCCCCAGACCCACTGAACCAGACTTGGCACATGAACAGATGCCTTTTAATTTGTAGACACAGTCCAGTTTGAGAAATGCAGATTTAGAGACACATTCAAGGGGGTATGTAGGCCATCTTCAGAATAATAAACAAACGCAGATTTTGTTTTATAGTTTTCCTAAAATGTAGCTTAAGAAATCTAGGATTTGGGGCTTGGGCTATAGCTCAGTGGCAGAGCGCTTGCCTAACATATGCAAGGCACTGGGATTGATCCTTAGCACCACAAAAAAATAAACAAATAAGCCAGATATGATAGCACATGCCTGTAATCCAGCAGCTCTGGAGGCTGAGACAGGAGTATCAAGAGTTCAAAGCCAGCCTCAGCAACAGCAAAGCCCTAAGCAACTTGGTGAGACCTATCTCTAAATAAAATACAAAATAGGGCTTGGGAAGTGGCTCAGTAGTCGAGTGCCCCTGAGTTCAATCCCCAGTACCAAAAATAAATAAATAAACAAATAAATAAAATAAAGGCATTTTATCAATCTACAACTACAAAAAAATTTTAAAAAGAGATCTAGCATTCATAACTCCCTCAGGTCTCTGGGAACACAGGTAAGCAGGGTTCTAACTACCACAATTAAGGGACATTTACCTCGTGTGGCATTTTATTTGAAGGGGCAGGGCCTGTGGCTTTAAGATTGTTTAAAAGAAGAAATTTGAAAATAATCAGCCATCCAGTTCATTTCATTGTCTAGATGAGGAAACAGTAACTAAGAAGATGTGTGTGTGTGACTTGGCCTTAGTCCTATGCTGGGAAATGATTGCGACCACTTTCAACCTCTCTGTTCATTGAGGACAGTAACTCAGAATACCCGAAATTTCCAATCAGCTGCATGTCAAATGCCATCATGCACCTTGGGTGTCTTCTCTCTGGGTCTTGAATTTCTAGATTAGCCCTTTTACATTTCTACCTTTAACTTCCTTTTAAGGGTTCATCTAACCCAGCAAAAAGCACTATCTGTTTGCACTGGGCACTGGAGGACAGATCCTCTGCTGCAGTTTTGTGTACACTGCTCACTGAGGGTACCCTACACATTTGTTTATGAATATTTCAGCTAATTATCTTGCCACAGACCATTGAAACAGATCTGGATGACTGTTCAATTAATAGTACTGAAGGAGTAATTAGAGAGAATTCTACTTGCACACCCCACCCTAGTGCTGACATGTCACTGTGGACATTTTCTTCTGCATGTGATTAATCACACAAATAATTCTCAGAAATGAAATTAAAGATCACCCACGCATTACACCCGTAATGTTTTAAGGCATTACATCCTGAGTCTCTGTAATGAATTAACATCACAGTCTGGTTTGAATTTTACGATTTTTAGCAAACATCCTGCTCTGTTAGCAAGTGACCCTGTGGCCTCTATCTATATTTTAAAACTCCATTTGCTTGATCATGTGTTAGCTTTCATTACAGGTTGTGTATCCCTTTTCCAAAATACTTGGGAGCAAAAATATTTCAGATTTCGATTTTGATTTGATTTTTGTTAATATTGGAATATTTGCATATACATAATGAGATATCTTGGGGATGGAATCCAAATTTCAAAACAAAATTCATTGTTTTGTATTTATCTTATACACGGAGAGCCTAGAGATAGTTTTATAAAATGTTTTTATAATTTTATTCATGAAGCATTGTTTCATCATGTGGAATTTTCCATTTGTGACATTGTATCAGCACTCAAAGTATCAAATTTTGTAATACTTCAGATTTCAGATTTCCAGAGTAGAGTATACAACTTTTATAAATCTTAAGGTATTTATTATTATGGCACTTACCCATTCTTTTAATTTATTTTTTTAAAACTATAAAAGTATAAGCTTTTGATTTTGTTTGAAAAGAAAAAAGTCTCAAATAATTGTGGAGCTACATTATTACACTGATAACATTTTATTCAAATTTAGTAATAAAATGCAAATGAGTGATATACACTGATAATTTAGCCAAACTGTAAGTGAGAGGTGTATCTCTAGGGATTTTAAATCTTGTCATGGTATATTTATATTTTTTTTCTAAAGTGAATATAAAAAAATTAAGAACAATGATCTTTAAGAATGATGGACAATGATCTTTATGAGTATGGAAAAAATACCTAAAAATAAATTTGTATTGTGTTAACAGACGAAGCTTCACTGCCCAACATATTTATGCTATATTCTATGGTGAGCTCACAAAATAAATGGTTAACAACCCTACAATCCTTTCAGCTGAGATAAAATTATTAATTTAGTAATTCTGATTTATTAACAGAACATTAAAGTTTTTAATAACTTATTTTTAGGAGTGAAATGAAAGTAAAACCATGTTCACATGTTTGGGAAGTTATGCATAAGCCATTGATTTTTAAGCAGTAATTTCTAAAGCAGGCAGAAGTAACTTTGGAAGTAGATTTTGTTTTAATGTCGATTGTTATACACTGCTTTCCAGGTTGGTGCAAAATGTAAATGACTAGGATTTGCATTTTGAATGATACCCTATATGCAAATCATCTAGTACAAAGTCCCTATAGAGCACAACATGTTTAAGGGCTAGGCTTGGAAATTAGTGCTAGTTCATGGAGCATTAGTTGCCAGCTAGACCCACAGGCCATTTGGAGTTTGGAAAGGCAGAGACTGGAAGCAAAGTCTTAGTGGTGTTGCTTGGGGAGGGCAGTCATGGCTTAGGAAAAGCCCAGTTGCAAAGTGATGGAAACAAGAAAGGGGCCTGTAAGTAGTGAGTACTATAGGCCTAGAATGTGGGCCTCACCCCTCCAAACAGGAGTAACCACCAGTCACAACACCCACCTCCCTAGATTTGCTTAGCATTTGTCCACTGGTGGTGATTTTCAGTCCCACTTCAGGTACCTTGCTTTGCTATGTGGCTCTCTCAGCTAATTAGTATAAGGCATTCCTACCACATGGTGTCATAGAGACAGCATCTAATATTATTAGTAGGCAGAATGCAATTACCTCCATTGGTATTTTTCCAATGTAGAATAAATACCCATTCCTACTCCATGTGAAAAAACTTCTTCCATAGTCATTAATCATTGACTGTGGCACGTCAGTGGCAAATCTAGCAAGATACCAAATGCCAGTATATGTACACTGATATTTGACCTTTTTTGCATTAAAATTCTTTAGATATAAATAGTCTTCCTTCAATATTTATTGTCTTATTTACCCCCAAATCGCAGGCCCTTTGATAAATGGAGTAATCGTTTCTAGTGTCACTGTGGCTGTGAAATGCATTTTAGTGTCTTCTGCTGCTGTATCTTAATAATTCATTTCAGCACATCTATTTCTAAATCACAGAAGTTTTGTTCGAGGGAATGCTAAGGAAAAATGCTCTCTTTTTGTCAAGACATATAACCTGTATTTTAGGACTAGTGTCTACTATGCAATTTAACTTCATAGGCTCAAGATTGCCCCCACCCCCTGATAATGGACTCCATTTTCAGGGTCCAACAAATTTAATTTACAAACAAAAAAAATTCATAAATGGGTATCTTGAACTTAATAAATAATTTATCAATAAATTGAATAATATTTCTTTTAGCTTAGCACCTAAATTGAAAGCACACTTTTAAGAACTGTGAAAAACTTTATAGTCATGCATTTTTGGTGAATTAATAAATGAAATGAAGTAATGTCAATATTAACTTCTAAAGGAGAAATTGTCAACAGCTTTATATTTAAAAGATTTATTTTAAATTGTAGCTCATTTTTGCCTCTACATTTGAGTACTTTTCAGACATAAATGTGCATAAGACATTAAAACTTGCCTGTGAGAACTCTCCGTCCTCTAAGGCAGGTGTTGCAAATCGACAGCCACTTCCCAGGGCTAGAAGTGTCATCCTAGAGACAGAAGCACAGTGCTTCAAGGGCTTCTACAGAACAAGTTAATTCCACCTGTGGTGGTAATGAGGGCTCATTCAATGTGTTAGTAAATTTACTTAAGTAGTCAATCTAGAATAGCGGGCAAATATATTTTTTCTGATGATAGTATTGTACCCCAATGCTCATTACTTTTGCACTTTCTCTTGTAGAGACGTCCAAGCAGATGGCCTGCCATGAAATTTCGAAGGGGTTCTGGACATCCTGCCTATGCTGAAGTTGAACCAGTCGGAGAGAAAGAAGGTTTTATTGTATCAGAGCAGTGCTAAAATTTCTAGGACTGAACAGCACCAGTACTGGCTTACAGGTGTTTAAGACTAAAATTTTGCCTATACCTTTAAGACAAAAAAAAAAAAGAAAAACAAAAACAAACAAAAAAAAAAAAACAAAGACACACACGCAAAGGAGCCCTAAGCTGCTGTAGCCTGAAGGAGACGAGATTTCTGGACAAGCCCAGCCCAGGAAGTCTAAAAGAAATTTTCAAGCTTATACTGGATACCATTTATACTGAGCATGGAGTTCTCTAGTGGAATGACATCTGTAGTTCACTCGGAACATCTCCTGTGGACTTTTCAGAAGTATAACAATATTATGATGCTTTTTGGCTTAGGTGCAGGGTTGCAAAGGGATTGAGGAAAATAATAATAATAAAGCTTTAGTTCACAAGGGATCTTCATCTTTGGTTCAAATGTTCTTCTCTGATGTCTCCAAGGTAACCGTGTTCCAAAGCCTGAACCCTTTCACTCAACAAAGCAATGATGAATGTCTCAAGATTGCTGGGAACAGTAGCTCACACGGGAGGAAAAGCAAACACAAAATAAGAGATTTTTTCTATCTTTTCCAAACAGACGTGTGGCACGAGGATTTTGGTTTTTTTGGCTCTAGATCCATCTGTTCCAACAAGTTCATTAGTTTGCAAGATGACTCTTTCATCTGTACAGGAGGTTCTCAGGATGCCTGCCTGGGTCTTGGTCAGGAAGGCCCTTTCTATGAGCTGTGACACAATTTCCACACTGTTAGTTGAGGATTAAGAAGGAGGGAGTAGTAAATGAGGCTTTCCATTCTCTTGCCTCAGAGTAAAGACATCTGATTGTCGTTCAGAAAGGTTGCTTCTGTCTCCCACCCACAAAGTCGTACGGAGCCACAGTTACTGTTGGCCGATGGAAACAAAAAGAAATAATACCAAGAGTTCCTTGATCATTTTTGAGACAAAAAAAAAAAAAAAAGTTAAGGGATTTTAAGTATATGGGGTTTTAATTTTTTTTTTCTATTTCAGTGCAAAAAGCCCATTTCATTTCCTATCCAAGAAGCCGCTCAAGTCAGGATATCCCTGGTGATATAAAGAAGGAAAGAACACTGCTGAATCATACAGTAATTTTCTTTAAAGCACATAGTAGTTACATAAATATATAAATAAATATATTTTTGTTTATAACTAACACAAGGCAGGCTCTTGTGACTCTAAGAGTGCATTTTGTCATTAAGACAAAACAAATGCAAGATGTATCACTGCATTACTTCCATAGAGTTGTAAAATAATCCTTAATATTAGAATATTTTTATGTCACTTAGTCAAAGTGGGTCAATTAGTGGCAGTGCCTGTCAGTTCCCTGCCTCTTTGATCCACTCTTTTTCATGTCCAACCCCTTCCCTCCCTGGCTAAATGAAGCAGATGCTTAAAACTCTTTAGATGGAGCTGCTATTTGCCCAGTAATCACAATCCAAATTTTAAAAATTCCCCCCAAATGAAGGAAAGCATCACTTGAGGAGGAAAGGGGTTAATATACATACTGATCTCCTAAAGTTTAAATTCCGTACTGTGTACAATATTATCCACACACTGATCCATGAAACTTACATTCCATGCCAAGAAACCGTTGGTTTTTGAAAGGTACAGTGCTCAACATTTGCAGATTCAGGTCTCAGAAAGCAGAGATGTCTCAAAAGTAGCACTTTACTAACAGCTTAGCCTCTGTGCACAGTGTCTCCATTGGACAGCATCAGTCCACTAACAATGTCACACTTTATCATCACCATTGTCCACCATAAGCAAGTGCTGCTTTCTGTCATGTATATTTTGCTTTATCTTTTTAAGTATCTGATGAGAATGCTAACTTTTTCCTAACCTGCTTAGTTAATAATGGCAAGAAAACAATAAATGAAAAGCAAGGTGATTGAAGGATGTGATGACAATCTGCTATAGCTATGTTCAGTTTATATGAAATATGCCAACTTATTCTTGTGGAGTAGGTTGGTTCAGATAGCAATAACCAGATGATTTAACCAATGTAACTGGTGCAACTGGCATTCTACAAATACATATGGAACACAAAGACAACTTCCTTCTGGGATACGATAATGCTTCTTTTCATCAGCTTTGATGGTAGGTGTGGCTTCCAACAGCAATGGATTGGCAATTATATAAATACCTGCATATTTTGATCCAATTCCTTATACACTTCTTTTAAGCGGTAATGTTGTCCTTACACCCATCGGAGCTTGTCTTCCATTTTTACATTTACAAAATTTGATAATCTTGTTTCAATAAATAAATAAAAACCTTCTGGATTGTTCAATGATCCAAAGCACCAAGTTGGGAGAGGGGTGTGGATTGTGGAAGTAGAAAAGCTTCTACTAAAGTGTGGGGAAACTTCCTAAGAGAACTAAAGAGTTCAAGGTGGTGAGAAATCTGAGTTGTGTATGAATTCTTGAGTTGCAAAGAGAAAACGTTGAGTGAATACACTTCGAAACTTCCTTTCTATGTGTACTTCTGGTTTGTTCTTGATGCTCCTTTGCTGCAAAGGGCAAACACAGTTTCTGGAAATTTCAGAATGGACACCACAGCATTGAACCCTACATGTGTTACATATTAGAAAAGGTGCCTGGGTATGTGACTCAACATGCTATGAGAATAGGGAAAGAATCAATAATAATTTAAAAAAAAAAGAATAACAAAGGGACACATACAAACTTCTGGAGAAATCAGGTAAATGGTGCTACAGAGGTATTTAGCTATTTCATCTTAATTTTTTATAAAAGTAATAATCAGTGATTAGCTAAATGTATTAAATGCCATGAAAGATATCTTAAGGAAATCAGACGGCACTGACTGTAATGTTGGTTTGTTTCGGAAGCGTTTGGACCTAAAGGTGTACTAAAAAATAGAAAACTAAAGATAAATTATAAAGGACAACCCACCACAAGTATATTAATCTCTGATTTGTATTACCTACAGCTATGCTGTCCACTATCACCCACTAGCCAAATGTGGCAACTAAAATTTAAATCAGTTAAAATTAAATACAATTTAAAGTTCAGTTTTTGAGTCACACTTGCCACACTTCAAGTGAGGAGGCCTCAGATGGTTTGTGACTACCATCAACACTATACTCATTGTAGAAAATTCTAGTAGAAAGTCCTACAAAGATGTTTCCTTCAGATTATTTATTCTTGAAGACAAATGAAGAGGGGAAAAGAGAGAAGATTTGGTGTCTCTTTCACATATGAAGTGGTTCTTGGTTTTTATTTCAAAGAGAGCCCATGGAATAATGAAGAGCATGACTTTGAGTCTCCACTATTTTATTTTGGAAAAATCACTTAAACCTTCATAAGTCTCAGTTTTCAATTTTGGAAAATGAAAACATTTCAGTCCTGTTTTCCTTATAAGATTATCATGCAGACTGATTAAATGTACAGATGAACAGACTTTTAAAATCGTATGTCAGTGTGGTCCATATAAAGCACATTTATTGGTCCAGGGTCAGCACAAATTTGCATTCAAAGGAAGAATAGTCCATCAGTCCAAAAGGCAATCAGAGACAATTCATATACATTCTTATATACATTTCTTAAAAAATTGTCAAAGAATAATGCATTCAAAACACACAAAAAATTACATAAATTCTTTTCCATCCGTCTTCATATTTCCTCTAGTACTTGCTCCACATGATATCCATTCAGCTACCTTTCTTTTCCCACACCAAAATTGCCTCTGGTGTGTGTATGTGTGTGTGTGTGTGTGTTGTTGTTGTTGTTTGTACCAGGGATTGAACTCAGGGGGGCACTCAACCACTGAGCCATGTCCCCAGCCCTATTTTGTATTTTATTTAGAGATGGTCTCGCTGAGTTACTTAGCACCTCACTGTTGCTGAGGCTGGCATTCCACTCAAGATCCTCCTGCCTCAGTTTCCCAAGCCGCTGGGATTACAGGTGTGCACCACCTTGCCTAGCCTGTGTGTGTTCTTCAACAGGTTGGGTTATTTGTTATGTAGAGTTACTTAGCTTCTCTAGTTTCTTCTGACATCCCATTTTACACTTCTGCAAAAGGAAGTCCAAAATCTGAACAGAAGGATTCTCTTTAATACTACAAATGAAATTTCATATTTATTTTAATCTTGTAACACAAATGTAAGAGGCTCTGACATTAAAATATAAAAATACACGGGACATGTATGTAAGATTTTGCAAATGCAGGCTATATAAAAGGAATATAATTACTTTAAATTATGCTAATATTCAGGTAATCTATATTCTTAATTTAGCATAATTCACCAGTTCGGGCAAAAAAAATAAATTCTATGTCATTTCTTCCTGAAGGAGTAGTTTTGGTAATGTCCCTAGGATGTTGCCCATAAAAAAAAAATTAAGTTTTTTTTTGGGGGGGATCCTTGCCTTGGTTCAAGGCACTTTCACTCTACAATAAGAAATTAATATTTAAACTATGACTAAATGAGAAGAGGGAAACTATGGTTAGGATTTCTTCCTCCTGTGAAATGTTCTTTGGCTTTGTATTTCTTCTGGCATTTTTCTAGATGTTTTATTAAAATGTGATCCACTAATTCCAAAAGATTGTTCTTTCTTTCACTTTCCTGCCCATGATCCGGCTTTGGGAATCAGCACCTGTATGCCAGATGATGGGAGGTCATCTAATCTAACGTCTTCATTTTAAAGATAAGCAAACCAAGGTCCGAAAAGATGTAGTAACTTTACCAGTGTCAGCACTGGGTCTGGAACTTAAAACTCCTGATGGGTGGTGATTTTTGTTCAATTCTTATTGCCTACACCCCTGTGTCAGCAATTAAGACCAACCAAGCAGTTTGAAAGGCACAATCCATCTCAAACCTCATTTTATTTGCTATCTGAATTATCTACTCTATTGTGTCATATGGAACATTGGACCAATCTTTCTCTCATATTGCTGTATTCTGATTCTGCTAGTTTAATAACAACTAATGCTTTCAAGTTCTAGCCATTGCAGGGTCTTTCTTGGGTCTGCAGGTCACCTCCCCCACCTCCCCATCTGTGGCCATCCACATTAGCAATACTGTTTATCTTTGCTGTTTAAATATTTTCTGTCTTTATTTCACTTCTTCCCAAATGTACTTAAATACTGATACTCCTTACGGCTGGTTTTCTTATCACATATACAATCACAATTTTTATTTTCTCTTTAAACTGTTTAAATGTTTTTGTCCCAGAAAGGCCTTGTGAGTAAAGATTGTTAGGTCAGGTATATTAAATATTATATATTCATGTTACCTTGTGTTTATCAAACACTTAACATTTCACATGGCATTTTGTTTTATCCTTTTATTTGTTTGTTCATTCATTCAACCATTTACTTCAATTAATTATTTATTGAGCACCTGCTGCAACCAAGTTACAGTGCTAGGTC